TTACACAGTTTTGATGCTGTTTTATGTCTGGTGATTGTGTTAGAATACATGTGGAAGCATCTGTTGTTTCGGTTTCTTCTTCACTTGTTTTTTGGAAATTCTGTACAGAAGATGTGTACTAGCGCTCCCTACAGTATAACAATGAAAACACGGATTCTAGGAACACAATTATAGCTAAAATATATTAAGACTTTTTCTAAGTATAAGTCAAGTATACTTAAATGCCATTTTAAGTATATTTCTGAGAAGTACATAAAGCCCATTTCTGAGAAGTACATAAAAAGTAGACTAAAAGTATACTTTCCTATTTTTAGTTTAAAAGATGTATACTAATAGCACACTTGAATAAACTTCTTTTTCGTAAGGGATGCCAGACGTACTGATCATTTAGAAACGTTTTTTGTCTGAAAAAGACATTAAAGTTGCATTTATATAAAACATGAGTGATTACTAAATGAACTTAATGTACAATATGAGCAACAACCATTGTTTTAATTCAACTGCAAAATTCTATTTGAAACTGAAATGTTGATTTTGCTTTCCAGATTTCAGTCATTATCACTTTTCCTTCTTTTGTTCACGTTTTTTTCCTCACACTATTAAATTATAGATATGAATCTTACAATAGGATGACAACACTACAATTGTTTTGTTTGTGATGCGAGTCAAATAAATGTTTTAGACAGAGAGCAGGTAAATGTTGTTTACTATTGTGTATCTGTTACATACGGCAAACAAATGATACAGTAACACAGTACTATAAAAGTAGACACAAACTATACTTTTCACTTTCAGGAAGGCAAGGACTTAGCTTGGCAGATGGTGAATAACCACTGACACCTAGTCTGTAGGACTGTTTGGTTAAAATAACTTTTTTTTTTTTAGATACATACTACCCATCCCTTTTATTTAAAACTAAATCAAAAAGTAATATGAAAACAAAACTGCTTTGGACAAGGGTAAAAAATACATACAAAAAGTTAATGGGTGTCCTGCCGGGAAACATACTTTATAAAGTGCAGATCTTAGACTCGTTGTCCTTCCGGTCAAGGTTGAAGGGTTTTGTTTTTTTTCTCATAAAATGCAATGTGATTGGAAGATTATGTTTGAGGCCAAGTTTTTTTTTATGGTCATGTCAAAATGGTGAATATTTCCCAACAAACACACAGTACTCATTAAACTGTGAGACATTCAACATAACAGGGATGGAAAAAAAAACATAAAAATCCTATAGCTTTTTACATCGTCAATATTGCCCAAGTACATCGCCCTAATGTTATCCTTTTTTTTCTCAATTAAGAAAATAATGCAAGGCAAACATATTCTTGATCTCTATAAATCCTTAATACATCCAAAGCACTGAATACCAACAAGAGGCAAACACAGGACTCAGAATAAAAATACAACTACAGTATAAAGATAAATTCTATTACTGAAACTTCAAGGCACAAGACTATGTTAAATAGACCATGAACTTTCTACCATGGTGGGTGGATCTGGAATCTATTTCTTGAAGTTTAACTTCTGTTTCGTTTGATTTTAAATTGTCCTCCTTGCACAATTCAAAGTGCTGCATTTTAGTCATAAGGGTAAATTTATTTTACTTCACTCCTACTGTTACACAAATCAGAGACATACTAAAGGAGAAAACTCATTTCCGATCTGCTGGGTATACTATCATACTATTGCTATGAAGATAAAATGGTCTATTTCTAACGATTTATAATTGAAAAAAAAAAAAAAAAATTCTACTAATAAAAATAAATCTAACAGAAATCTACAATTTACTCTAGCCACAAGTAGTGGCGTTAACAGCCCAAACTCAGCTACCATCAGTTAAATCAAAAAAATACTTCAATGAAATAAATTTGTTCATATCAAACAGACCGATGTGCACAACCTTCATTAAACAGAACACATTCAGTATTTTATACCTCATGAAACCCTTCGGATTCGGTTGGGCTCAGCTCTTAGAGTGCTGTTTGAAAACATCTTATATATATAATAGTAAAGGGCAAGCAATGTCCTATCTTCTAATGGCAATCATGCATATTGATACATGTTCACGTACATAGCATGTTTTTTTGGCTACAGGGACACAAGGACATTCCAAAGCATATTTCACTGCCAGAGGCACAAAAACCCCAAACAAGTGAGGAAATAAATCAAACAAACCAACATATATAAATAATAAAAGTAATCATCTTATTCTGTCTTTACCCATTTGTAGGGCTCCATTTTTGTCAGTGGGCTTTGAGCGCTACAAAAAGCAAGAAGTTCATAAAGCAGAGGGTTTTTAACAATACATCATTTCTAGGTGGACACAAATGCCCAGCTGATGGAAAAACAGGAAAATGAACAATGAAACCCTAGTTACAACACACACACACACACACACACCAGTGCACGTTCTACCTATGAAAAATGACCGAATAAAATCCAAGCATTTGAGTAAATTCACCATCCACGTTGCTTCATTGGGATAAAGGTGTTTCTTTAGAATCAAAGGTCACTTCTACCACCTTAGTAAGTCTCCACAAAAAAAAAGGCACTACCCTTTCTGTTTCAGCCAGACTGATGCAGCTTGTGAGTCGTAACTTCAATTCATGTCTGGAGGTTTCGTTCCTTCGCTATTATTCTGAACCTGTAACTGAGAATGTGCTTGCCGAGCTCAAGGCAAAGGAATCCATTCGTCTACCTCCAATCTCCAGCTCGAGTTTAGTCAAACCAGGGAGACGTTCACCACAGACAGGACACAACGTCAGCCGTCGGTTAAGTGAGCGCTCAAACTCTGCCGAGGACAGAGGGTGAGCCCGTGGTGTTTGACCTTAACACTTAAAGTCTCTTGTTTGACGTCAAGCAATTAACTGAGTTTGTCTATACAGCGAGGACCAGATCGTGTGCTCCTCTGACTTAAAAATCCATTTCCTTCATCTGCTTTTGACTACTCGAAATGATTACATAGCCCTTGTTCTGAGCAGAAACGCTCTTTTATTTTCTATGCCTCTTCCCGGTGAGGGTCGAGGGAGCGGGAGGCTAGAGGAAGAGAGTGGAGATGCTTTCAATCTTAGTAAGACTTGAGGGGGAAAATAAATAAGCAATGTTCCTTGTGAATGTCGATTGTAATTTAATCTACACAACAACAAAAAAATGTTTTCTCTTTAAACGTATTTGACATACCAGATAACAAGGCTACTCTAAAACTCACTTGAAAAAATAGGACCGGTAAGTTCTCTCTCGCATGCATTTCAATCCCTAAACGACAGCAAACATCCAAAACAACACCCTACTCTAGTTGAACTACCAGATGGAAAAATGTAACAAGTGCTGAGTGTTATGACTCTGATTAAAGTTTAGTAGTACATATTTTTCAGCATTTATGTCAGTGGCAATGCACATCCATCGCCCAAGCCACAATAACTATGAATGTATAAACAGACAAATCTGAACTCAATACTTTGTGGAAAAAAGGGCAACCCCTCACACTCTCACAATCTGTGATGACATCAGACCCAGAGATCTGTGAAGATTGGTTTAAATGTAATTGTATGGCTGGTTTGGCTTGGATTATATATATATTAACATTTTAAATTATTAAAATTAAATTTTAAAATTATATATATATATAATTTTTTTCTTATTTTAATTGATTAAAAAGTAAAGATTTGGCAAGCACACAGAGTTGCATGTAACAGTCAAACATCGACATTTACTAACTAACTGCCTTTGTCACCCTATTACTGGCCTTAAATATGCAATCTCAAATACTGTACGTAGAGATTTGGGGTTCTTGGACTCGGACTGTAATTATGAATGAAGTACAGTTGAATCCACATCATGTAAAACATGAAAGTTAAAAAGATCAACAACATAAAACTAAGATGACTATACATAAATAATGGTTTCCCACTCAAACTCAACTGATTAAGGACTTGACTCGACTCGGACCTGACAAGGTGGACTCTGACCCAACACTATTGTAAGTCAAATGTTGCCTTTATGCATGATAATTTGGTAAATATGGGGTATTTGTACAGAAAAAGCTAATCTAAGCAACAGAATGGCTCTTTATAACAACACTGAACATGCATTCTATGCTGACACACATCTGAAGAAAGTTTCAACTTCAGGACATGAAACAGAAGTCTGTGCAAGGCTAACCAGAAAAATATATGCAAATAAATTGGTATGCTTCTCACAATTTCAATATTCAATTCTGTGAAAGTGTTTTAAAAGTAAGGTGCATTTCATCTAGAAGAAGAACCAAAAATGAAACAGAAAAAGTGCTGTATATTTTCCGTAAAATCCTAATTTTACATAATCAACAAAGAAGAACTTCCTCAGTTTTGGTTCAGGATTTCCTTAGGATTACGTTTCATCTCAAAGGTACAATCAAATGAATTACCAACACATCTTCAGTATGTCCAATCTCTAACAACTTTATGCACAAAGCAGTGATTTGGTGTCCTTCTTTCTGATTGCAAATATTCTTTGTCATTTTGAAAAAGTAGACTTTAGAAAACTAATAGAACTATTCATGATTGCATGGTGTTGTACAATGTATGCAAGATTTTCTTTCATTTGTTGCCAAGTAATGTTTCATAATACTCATAATTCAAAATATTTATGTATCTATAACATTTAACCCTCATCATCAGTGCTGAACCTGGCTTTATAAACCTTTATGTACAAGAAAGACAATGTCGGAGTACTAGAATAAATAGCACGCAAAGCACGCAAACATCAGCAACCCATGCATTTGACACAACTACAGCCTGACAAGACATTATATAAATATAGCCATCTATTAACTTTTCCGTCAGAAACGTTTTTAGAACAGCAGCTCTATAACCACACACGATAAAACCAAACGCTACATTTGAAACTGTATGCTTTTTTTGTTAGGGATTTGTGTCGTAAGAACACAAGGCCACTATTTAAATTGTACTTCATGGAAAAAAGCAGGTAAACATAACAAATTCCTTTTCTCGTATTCTTTTACGCGAGTTGACATCAACTCCAGATGCTACACTGGACTGTGCTTTCAATATTCCCTAACAAATACATTTGTGCTTTATCTCCCTCACCAGAGAAAATGAAAAATAGAGCTTTCCGCTCCATTTGCATTTTCTCAGGCACCTCCGAAACTGGTGATTAGGTTAATCAAACTACTGATAATGAATAGACATGTGCACTAAAAATACCAACAACTCAAAAGGAAATACTGCTTCCAAATTCAATTGATCTTCACAGGTCAACAGACTGGAAATGTCAGCTTGGCACGAACCCACAACTAGGAAGTTCTTTTCTGTCAGAGTTAAGCTAGCGTCTTATTTCAAAGGTGATGATGCTGCAACAGTTGCATCCGACTCAAATGGAAAGGTGGAGATCGGAAATGTGGCCCTTTTTTCTTCAGCTTGCCGTCGGATTTGCCCCCTCGTTTTAAACACAAAAGGAAGAACACACTGATAGGACACCTTTTTTCTAGGGTTGAGATGACATGACTATGCTGCATGTTAGTACTTTTGAGAGCATCTTTGATCGGAAAGTTTCGCTTTACGACAACTATGGCGTGTGAGTTGTGCATCCATTACCACTTGAGTGTGTTTCTACTTCCTACAAGCTCTGACAAAGGAATAACTGGTTTAGGTGAGTGCTAAGATATACTTATACAAAGATATAGTGGGAAATAAAAGGAAACCATAAAGAAAAAGATTAGCAGAGAATTCATCCGGAAGCAAAATAATTTTCGCCCCGCGTCCAACCCACAGAGAGAACGAGACACAACAGCTGCCTTTTGTATAAGTACGTTTACATTTTTGTTTCCTTTTTCTTTTTTCCTCAGTAAAAAAGAACGAAAAACCACTCGTCTTGCTGCGACCGCCTCCAACTCTTTGCACGTAAAAGCGCTCCCGATCCGTCACTTAGTCAGTCAGCTCACTGGCTCGCTCACTGGTGTCCGGGACTCGACTGTTTCCTCTCGGCTCGGCCTCGGAACGGCAGAGGGAGGAACAATGTCTCTCAGCTCCTTGCCATCCCCCGTCACAGTCGCCTGCTGCCCTCTCAGGTCAGAGGAGGCCATCTTGCTTGCGTTCTGAGCGTCCCTGCTCGAGGAGCTATCAGTTCTCGCTTCCTCCCAGCAGGCCACATGTTCCGCTTTGGGCCTGGAGGTGCTCAAGTCCTGGGGTTCGTTTTCCGTTGTCGCAGGCGGCCCCCCTTGTGTGGAGTGACCCAGGGAGAGCTGGTGAGCCTGCGGAGTGTAGGTGGAGGGCGGCATGGCCTGCAGATGGTGGTGTTGGTGGTGGTGATGATGGTGGTGGTGTTTAAAGTGCTGCCCTCGATGATCTCTCTTCTTGTGACTCTTCGGTCCGCTGCCGCTGGTTGCCATCCCGCTGCTGCTGCTGCCGTTCCCCGGATCGGTGGATGCCTCTTTGTGCTTCCGGCCAGGATGCTTGTGAGACTTCTGTCCCGTTTCTACCTCCTCCCCTGTAGGGGTCACAGTTGATGCAGTCAGTCGTTTTGCTATCCCTGGTACAAACGTCTCCGTCGTGGAGGTGGTGGATCCTTCCAACTCCTCTAAAGTCTCTCGAGTTTTGCGTTTCTTGATGGGAAGTGCCCTCTCCTGAACAGGCTTTACGGAAGACTCCTTCTGAGCTTTTTTCTTGGCCTCGGCGGTGAGAATGGCCGCGGCCGTGTATGCAGCGACTGAACCTGTCCCCACCACCGACTGTGAAGCAGCTGCAGGCTTGCGGCCACGTTTTTTGGGGGTGCTCAGCGGTTTCTGTTCTGATTTCCGCTTGCGCCCTCGGCGCACTTTGGCAACTGCCGCTTGCACCACTGGAGCCCCTGGTTCAGTTTTGGGAGCCACAAAGGGCATCTTTACAAGGAGTTTTCCTGGACTCTTTTCGACGACACGCTTTATTGCCACCCCTTCTGTGGCCTGCCGTACCTTGCCACTGCCTTTGGGCCGACCCCTCCGGCGACCAGAAGGTTTGACCACTTTAGGCTTCTTTGGTGGTCTCTTTTCTCTGCGAGAGGGGCTCCCTCGGCCCGTGACTGTGAAATCAAAGTCATTGGGATCCGTAGTGGTATCACCCACCTTTTGGAAGTATGCCATGAGCTCCACTTTGGAACGGAAGGCTTTCCCTTCTGGGCTGAAAAATAAAATCAATATATTTTGTATTATACATATTGAAGACTGTAATTCTGAGGAAACAATTTGAGAATTTGAGAAAGTGTATCTGTGTTAAATTAGAATTTTTAATCGTACATGTAAATCATGCAGTCCAAATAAAAATGAAATAAAAGAAAAAAAAAATTGTGTTACAGGAAGTAAATCATACAGACCTGTGGTCCAAATATGAATATTTTCTTGGATTTCAATTTAATTTATTTAAGCACCCTATAATAAAGAGTGATATCAAAAAAGAAAAAAAAATGGTGCGGGAAGTAAATCATACAAACCTGTAGACCAAATACAAATATTTTCTTTGATTTCACATTTATCTTTTATTAAGCTCCTTTTAATAAGAGTAAAATGAAATCAAAGAAAAAAAGACAGTGGGAACCATGACACATTGGTCAGTGTTGAACAGCATGCACCCTTATTCATTATGTCAAATTGTTTGGCAGAAAAATACACTTGACAACACTGAATTATTTAGCCATACAAAAAATCTTAGAAATCTAATCTAAACACTAATCTCTGCGAGCCCGACCAGTGTAATGTACAACTCTCTCTATACATGTCATTTAGATTTACTGAACAACCACTAAGTTGTTATATCGTGCTTCAAATACTGTTGGGACCTGTTACACAAGCTCACGTCTTACACTGGAAGCGACCAGTGACACGCCACCTCAGACAAATGTGATTAAAAGGCAATAGAACAATAACTAGATTAGTGTCCACACCAGAGCATGATAACGCTCTGTTTACAGGGTTCGTACACATTTTTACCAATAAATTTCCATGACTTTTGAGACAATATTCATGACCTAATGTTCAATTACTTTGCAAGAATACATGTAAAATAAGAAGAAACATCTATGTTAAAATGTAATGACTATTAATGCTACTTCTTTACTTTCTATTTGTTTTAATAATAAGTACAAGCTACGAATGTGCCAGACCATGCAGAGAACATATCACATCACTGAATATTATAATTTATTTAACCAATATTATCAACTAAACTCAGGACCTGAATTGCATTTAGGAAACCCTTTAGGTCTAAACAAGTAGCCTAGTATTCAGGTACAGAAATAAACTGTAAATTAAAAACAGATTAATCCATAAAATTAAAGTTACAAAAGTTATTTAGTCAAGAGCAGTGATTGATCCTTTTTTTTTTGTCTTTTGTTGTTTGATCAAATTTAATGACTGACGGCACAGCTTTATTAGGCTGCTGTCTCTTTAAGACCGACCGCACGTATCCAATATGCTGATTCACAACAACTGCTTACATTCACTTAAGACAAAACCTACTGTTTATGAGGATTCTCGCCAGGACGGGCATTTTGACAATTGTGTGTGTATTTGGCCGCTTAATCGCAATAAGGTGCGGAAAAATAACTCGATTTGGAACTCGCGAGGTGTTTGAGGCGGCTTTATGTGCGCGCGCTTTGGTTCTGACTGGAGCGCGCAAGTACCGAATGGTTTAAAAAGAGTTAAAAAGATGTGCAAATCATACTGTTTTTGTGCTGATGCAACACTGGCCCGATTAAGCAAGTGACAATTCTGTCAACTGTCCCGAAAATCTCGCATCGCAGCATGCAGCCGCTCTCTTGTAGTGTAGGCGAGATGCGCTGATGTGAAGCCGTTTTGAGAGTGAGAGAGAGAAGACGAGATACCTCTGACTCACTCTCACTGTTTTCATATGACTGATTTGATCCGATATTCTGTGTGGATTAATTTACACCTAACCTACACGCTCTATTAAATAAATGTTTGCGGGAATTTCCCGCATTATAAACACGAAACCTTCGGGAATGAGTAAATCTAGGCGATATACGCGCGATCCCACAACGAAATTCAGGATCTGATTCAAAAATATATTCTATTACACAGCGATTTGTGAAATAAATTTCCACGACTTTTCCAAAAATTTCTGGGTTTCAAAATTTTTCCAAAACTTTTCCAGGCCTGCAAATTGCCGTTTTAAAATTCCATGACTTTTCCAGGTTTTTCATGACCGTATGAATCCTGTGTTTATTATGAGCAAATGCTACATTTATGTCGTCTGCCACTTTAAATGCTCGAGCTCTGTAAAGCTGGATGGATTCTGATTGGCTGTCTATGTTTTTATCATTAATTTTTTAAGTAGTTCCAACTATATTGTTCTCTGTGATGTTATCGTTGTAGTTGTGGTGTGGACTCTGCTATTCTTTTAAATTAAGAATGAATTTTAAAACTTTATCGTTGTCATCCTTGGTGTGAACGGGCCTTAAGACTTTAACGACAATAAATTGAGAAAGACTCTTCATCAGTATAAAACTGACTTTGTATGGGCTAAAACAATTTTACATGTTAAAACTACATATAAATATGGTGAGAAATAAAAGATTATTTAAATTTGTAGGCCAGAGACCAAAAAAACCACAAGCTAGCTTTGACGTAATGGACAGAGGTATATAACAAACAAGATTCAAATAAATAATTCATGATATATGTAACCATATGTAAACAGGGAATATAGCACATCAGTTATGAGGCCCTAACTGGTACTTCCAGTGTTAACAGGTTTAGTTTAGTTGCGTAGCAGCATGCCGTCCCTTTTAATTAGCAGTCAAAGACTCTCCAAACACAATAACTTAACTTTAATAATGACTGATTTGTTGCATGTGTGTCATTTGGATGAAGTATTACGAAACAAATTTCATCACAGTTGCTCCCAAAACTCTACTAACTTCCAGTAACTTGTACTAACTTGATCAGGTACACATCAAATTTTCCAGCGGATCGCCCCGACTTGCGCTGTTTCAGCTTGCGCGTCCAACCTTGAGGCAGTGAAGGGTCGTCATACAGTGGGCCTCTGTCCCGAATGATGGAACGCCGCTGCTTGGCCGATGCGGAAGATTCTGGAGCGCTGAGAGCAGCTCCAACTTCAGGGTCAACGGGTTCAGACTTCCCTGCCTCTGTCTGTTGTCCAACATCCCCCTGCGTAAGGAGGGGCGGCTGTGGAGGAACAGACACTGTGGCCTCGAGTTTTTCCACATCTTGCCGTTCCCTTTTGTTTTTCTTCTGCTTCTGCGTCTTGTCTTTTGAGCCCTCCTGGTCTTCATTCTTGTCCACACCTCTGCTGACAACACAAGAAATAAGTGGCACACTGAAATAGGATGACAGTCTTACGGGTCTGTATTCAAGTCAACCGCTTGTCTAAATGAAGTATTTTTTTTTACTGAACAGAAGTGCTGCGTTTGCCATCATAAATTCAATATTTTGGCTTCAAAGCATGCTCATTTTC